TATCCCGTTAGATTTGTTGGATTCTGGACGATTCAGGGCAGCGGAGTCRCTGCAGCCGCTTTTGTTTCCCATTGCCCGAGTTATTCGGCTCGTTTTGTACATGTTTATCATTCATTTTAAAGGCGGATGGGGCCCCGATCAGCGCCTGTAGACTCCGGAGGAATCGCCAAAATGCCTGAATCCCAACAAAAACGCAGGGTTAAGGTTTTTACAGCCCCAGCACCTCGAGCCTCCCTGTGCAGGTGTCAGTGCTGCAAAGCCACAGTGGCAAGAAACATGAAAACTGGTATTTCTTGCTTAAAATCAAGCTGTGTTCTGAAACCTTAGCTACATACGCTACTTAACGTGCGTTAAACTTTACCCTTATCCAGAGCATCATCCCAATCGGGGAAGAAATTTCACCCCTTAGTGTTTTTACTATAGTGTTGCCACCCACTCCCCAACATGGGACCGTCTGTCGGGTTATGTTGGAATACTAAAATCCAGGGAAAGTTGCTGAAATCCCCTTTTGTGGTAGAATTCACAGGGGAAAATCAGAACAAGCAAGTCTTAAGACAAGGCTTAATTCACCAAATCACCAAATCTTTTTATTTTTTTTTCTTCCTCCTAATTTTATCTGCTGTCTGCTTCACGAGCAGCGTCAGGGATTGTGCATAATTCATGTTTTTAACTTGTTCTGTGGCGCTTGCTTCCGAAGAGGCCCGGGTGCTGCAGCATCAGCTCCTGGGCTCTCATGAGAAATGAGCGGCCGGGATTTCCAGAGGGGAGGGAATGTTTGGAACCCAAGTCCYGCTCCCTCTCTGGGCTCTTGGAGTGTTTCCCAACAGCACTTACCATTAACTTGGATTTCAGCTGCTTTCTTACCTTGCTTGGTGGGAACTGAGGATGTTTAACCCCGAATATATATATTTACATTGCAACAAGAGCTTTGTGGGTTCTGGTGGATATCTTGGGAATACTTCTCCCTGGTTAGCGGACACTGACATGTGGATTTATTTACGATTAGATCCATTTAAGTCATCCCAGTTCCTCACAATGGGAAAATCATCCTATACCAAGCAGTGTGCCATACTGGCATTGGAGGGATTTCTGTGCTGTGGAAATCCATGTGGAAAATACCCCTATTCCTCAAAAATATTCCTCAGTGGCTGGAGGAAGTGAACTTCCCCAATTTCATCCCAATTTGTATGTATAAATCCTGAACGTCASAAGCCTGAGATCCATTTGTAAAACACCTTGCACAGGGTGGGTCCTGGTTTCCAACTAAACCTGYATGTTATTTTAACACAGGTAATAGTTAAAACGTTATTAGTGTAATAAAACACCAGGGATTTGGACAATTAATTGCTGATTCTTTATTATTCTTCTGGCATATTGAGCAGTTTGCACTTGTGTAAGATACAGGAGGCTTCCCTGCAATTTGTATCCTCTGTAACAACACACGTGTAAAACATTCAATTAGCCTTCAGTTATATTTTCTGTTCGCAAGCTCTATATTAATTAACCATCAGCCTGAGAAACAGTAAAAAGCATGTGTGGTTTCCAGGGGAAAAAAAAAGCAAATTTCAGCCCAGTTTCACTTTGAACGGGTGGATTTCTGGAGAAGTGGGGTTTGTTAACAAGGACTTCAATAATTGAGACGTGATTGACATTCTCTGGCCGTTTTCTTTATGTGCCTTAGTTACAGCAACCTGCAAATCCAGGTGACTATAAAACTTAAATAACTTGGCAAGACGTGATTTGAAGTGAAGAAGTCATTGGTAGAGACGCCAGCAATCCCCATCTCCAAGGGAATCGTCGGGTGCTCCTGCTGTGTCGGGGCTCTTCATTTGCCTCGTTTGTCCTCTTTTTTTTTTGGGTGGCAATTCCTGGAGTTGCCGAGAAACACGAGGCGTTTGCAGGAGGCCGAAGGCTGCGCTGGGGACGGACGCTCTGAAGGTGCCGTCAAATTAACGACCGCTAATCAAGCGCCTGCCGGTTCTTATCGCAGCCGCATAGTTTCCGATTGATGCCCCAGATTAGAGGAGTGAATCCCAGCGGGAGCAGGACGGTGTTTTGAACTGCTTGCCAGGATCCTGCTCGTGTCCAAGGGCGRTTCCGGAGAGCCTCCCTCTCCCGCAGAGCCTCAGCTGGGCCTCGGGGACACAACTTTGCTGGAAAGCCCTTTGGCTGGAAACACGGGAGCAAAGAGCTTGAATTTTCACAAAAGAAGTGAACTCCTCCAGGCACAGCGGCACCAGTGGTGTTCTGAAACAAGCAGTAGGGATTTAGGCTTAATTTTAGCAATTCCCTTGAATTTTGGGATTTTCAGAGCACCTCTCATGCAGATTTGCCAACATAAGATGATGCAGTTTCCTCCTGATAAAGTATGTGCTAAAATAAGCAAAGAGGCTCAATGCAGCTACAGAATTTGTGGTACACTGATGATGGTGGAAATCCAACTCATCCACTCTGGGGCCATAAAACAAATTTGGGGCAAAAATCCCTATATGGCCACCAGCTTTTCACAAGTAGCTGCTTGCGAGGAGCATCAGGGAGCGCAGGAAAAGCGGTTGCCTCGGTAACCAGGTGATACAAATCTGGCTCTTTACCTTGTGAAATTAATTAGCTTATATCCAAATCACGTCAAAACCAGGTCGTTTTCCAYGCAAGCTGTTTCTGTGTGCATCGGGGGATGCTTTTTCTTAATTACAGGCTCTTTTAGAAATGAGAGAGCACGCGTTGCAAAACAAAAATAAGCATTTTTAATGGGAAAGCCGAAGGAGGAGCCAAAATAACATCCCTGAGGCCACGGAGATGTCAGCGTGAGTGAGGAGGGAAACGGGGTGGTCGGGAACAGCCAGAGGCAGCCAAAGTACTGCTGTTGGTGCAGGCTGCTCTGCCTGTTTTACACCATAAAGCGGGTTTTAGTTGTCCCACGGGCACTCTGTGGGTCTGAAGAACGTTGCTCTTGGAGAAGAAAACTTGGTTTTCATGAGAAGTTGATAAAACTTTCAATTGTTACCCGTTCTGGTTGCTAATATTGGTGATTTCTGTTGTCGCACCTACCCAGCAAGCGGGGACCCTGCGCRCCCACCACTAAAGCACTGCTGACCAGTTCTCTGCTCTTCCCAGATTACAGAAGGTTGTGGATCCAGCACAGTTGTCTCAGCAGGAGYGTCTAAATAAGTTCCTTGGGAAAACTGGGACAGGCATCCAAAGGCAAACATGGTAAGGGGCTGGATTTGGGGAACGTACAAGGTGGGTTTGTGTTTAGTCCGTCGCTGAACTGTTTCGAACGTCGCTTGCAGCGGCCCATGCGCATCTTCGTGAACGACGACCGCCACGTGATGGCCAAGCACTCGGCCGTCTACCCGACCCAGGAGGAGCTCGAGGCTGTTCAGAACATGGTCTCCCACACGGAGCGGGCGCTCAAAGCCGTGTCCGACTGGATCGACGAGCAGGAAAAAGTCGGCGGGGAGCAGCCGGAACAAGAGACCATGGAGTCGGCCGCGGAAGAGGAGAACAAAGACGGAGGGTGAGGAAGGAGGCAGAACAGGCGTTTTTAAGGGGCAGCCTTGGAAGTAACAGCACAACCTCACTTAGATCAGTAGAAATTTACTCTCTGAGGTTTCAGAAAGGGGCTCGCTGGGCTACGGACTAGCAGAGTTGATAGGAGAAGGGTTGCTGACCTGGGTCTGCAGCGGTGTTTTAGCAGGAGGGGGTCCCATTTTATCCTTCATCCTCGCGGGTGCATCCCTTGGCTTCCACTGCAATTAATCCCATCTTTGTTTTAAGCCGTCGCGGTCGTTCCCTGTGTGTTGCAGGGATCAGAAGGCTACGGAGCAGCTGACGAGGACCCTCCGCGGCGTGATGCGCGTAGGGCTGGTAGCCAAAGGCCTCTTGCTGAAGGGCGACCTGGACCTTGAGCTAGTTCTGCTGTGCAAAGACAAGCCCACGGCGGATCTCCTGGAGAAAGTGGCTGACAATCTCGGAGTACAGCTTGCTGTGAGTACAATCCTTCCCAATTTCTGCCCCTTGCAGGGAAGGATCTATTTTGAATGGATAAAAGGGCACTTGGCTRCACTTTCTGATGCACTTTCTTATTTTGTCTTAAGAAAATAATTCCATCAAAGGCCATCATCGTTCTAGCATGAACTTATAAACAAACATCTTATTAATTGCAATCTTACAGACCTTGCTTTTTTTTTGGCAGGGTGGGGAGGATAGCGGAGCTCTAAGAAATGAATTAATTGCTAACTGGTGACATTATGTTGCAGGCTATTACAGAAGACAAATAYGAAATAATCCAGTCAGTTGGTGATGCTGCAATTATAATTAAAAACACAAAAGAGCCTTCGTTGACACTGACCATCCATTTGACGTCGCCTGTTGTGAGAGAGGAAATGGAGAAACAGTTAGCTGGAGGTATGGACGACTGAAAAGAGCCAACAGTCGGTCTGGAAAGTTGTACTTTTCTGTTCCTAATTCACTGTTAAACAGTGCTATTCAATTTCAACCAAAGTAGCAGCAATTGTTTTTATGGAAATTCAAGATTTGGTAATACACCAACTCCATGAGATCACGATTCCGATTTATTCGGACTGAACTTCTGAAATTGAGTAGCACTTTTCAAACGGTATTTAATTTTTTTTTTCAGTTTCATTTTTACTTGGACCTTCAGTTCACTAATATGTAATAYCGTTGTATTAATCCCGTTTTATACCTAGCCATGTAAGTGGCCTACACCATATACATAAGAGTATAAGCATATACATTTTAAACATGTTGAAGGCTTCTCGTTAAATGGTTTGCATGTACCTGAAGTTGGATGTTCCACRGTGTGTGTTGCAGCAAGAATGAGGCGCGCTCTGGGTCTCCTCCACTGGCTGTTTCGTCGGCCAAAGCTCAGAATCCCAGAATGCCATTCAGAGTTTTGGATAAAGTTAGCAGTTGATTTCCAAATTTCTTTTGGAACAAAAAATCGCAAATATCTCTGCGCTCTTTTTTTTTATTATAACCAGCGCTGTGTTCCAGCCCTAACACCCATTCACAGCGCTCAAACGTTTGCTCTGCGCACTAGCCTTATCTAAAACCCTGGTCTTGGAAAACTCGGAACTTCCTTGGACCTTTTCTTCAGTTTTGCTGCAGCACAGACTGGAAGATACTTTTGTGCTCTCTTGACTGTTATGGTTTTGATATCTGACCTGGTCTCCCAAGCCTTCTAGTTTGTCAATTTTAGGGACGCTGGACCTTTGACCAACAGGACGCTCTCTGTCACGGGCTGGGGCCGGGGCAGTCAGGCCTTAAGGGCGCAGGGGGCTCCCTTGGTGGCGGCAGCCGAGCTGCTCCCCGCACGCTGCCGCGCTCCGAGCGCGCCGCGGCACATTCCGCCCAAATTGCCGCTCGTGGCAGCCGGCCTGGCTCTCYGCAGCCTCACGGAAGCGGTGAAGGATTCCTGTCCTCCGCCAGGCAGCCTTTGCCCCCTTCTCCTCCTCACAAAACACTCGACTCTCTCCCCGATCGTTCCACATCCCGCCTCTCTGCAGCTGAAATTTCCCAGTGAGGCCAATATCCAGGCAAACCGCAGAGCAGCCTGCAGGGAACGGCGCTAGCCCATGGTCTCTTGGGAGCCTCCGCTGCCCGTTAGGAAGCTGCCTCATCCCCTCTCCAGCTGACAGAACCCCCTTGGTCAAACCGTGCCTTGTCTTCTTATTCCATCCACGAATAGAAACGCTATCAGTCACCGACTCCCCGGACGTTCTGGACAGGCAGAAATGCCTTGCTGCCTTGGCGTCACTCCGACACGCCAAGTGGTTCCAGGTTTGCATTTTGCTCTTATATTTGTCTTTAAGTAGAACGTTTGTAAACTCCTTAACTGGCTTTTTTTTATTATTATTATTATTATTTAAAATACCTTAAAGTTGGAGGATAGATAGCCGTGCTGAACTTAGCGTCTGTCTGGTACAGTTGCTAAAGAAGCACTTAAGTGGATTTAATGTTCAGAAGGGACCTTGCTTAATGAGTAGATGCCTAGCTGCTGCTTTGTGTTAAGAGTAATGTTGCCTTTGTACACGACCATTAAAGTTCTAAAATTGTAATGTCAACTKTTGTTTACCCTTGACAAAGTAGCACCGCAAAACTTAATGTCTGCCAAAAGCACAGTTTGGGTGTTTTTATTGAATTTGCTTCTGCTTTTGATTCCTCTTCCAGGCCAGGGCTAACGGGCTGAAGTCGTGTGTCATAGTGATCCGGGTTCTGAGAGACCTGTGTACTCGGGTCCCCACCTGGGCRCCGCTGCGAGGCTGGGTAATTCCCTTCTTTTCCTCCTTACGCCCCGCTTCTCCAAATCGTTGTGCAGCTCAAAGGTGGCGAGCGTTCCCACTCAGCAGATCGGTTTTGTACAATGCTAAAACAGAGCTTTTTTGCCTTGAAAAACGTGCGTTGGAGCTCTGCAGCGTGCGCCGTTTAAGGAACGTGCAGCCGTCCTCCTTCCCTCCGCGCGCGTGTCCGTTTGCTTTCCTCACCTTCCAAAATCTCTTTCAGCCTCTAGAGCTGCTGTGTGAAAAATCTATCGGCACCGCAAATAGACCGATGGGAGCCGGCGAGGCCCTGAGGAGGGTCCTCGAGTGCCTCGCCTCGGGAATCGTGATGCCAGGTTAGGTGCTTCTCTGCATTTACATTTCAAAGTGAAGCGGAAGTGGAACGGGATGGAAGCTTTGCCTAGTGTTTGAGACATCCCTTGTTAAAGGGATGGACGACCTAGATGCAAAACTCGGAAAAAAAATAACCCGCTATCCATGGGTGCTGCCGTAGCGCGCCGTTCCTTAGGGCACATGTGTTCAAAGCTATGGACCCATGATGTGAAACCCTGTAGAGAGAGGCACCAGTTTCTTGCAAGTGTAACATTGCTTCTCGGAGCGGTTGTGACCAGTTTCACTTATAATTGTACGTGTAAAATAATCCCGACGAGTCTCAGAATGTTGGACAGTGGATGGATCATGTCAGTCGGTGTTCTTCGAGAGATGAGTGTTGATTGATGCCAAGGGAATACTTAGTTTAGTTTCTTTAGAAACACCAGGATAATTCTCTGCATATCTTCCTTGTTTCCTGCCTTCAGATGGTTCTGGTATTTATGATCCTTGTGAAAAAGAAGCCACTGATGCTATTGGGCATCTAGACAGACAACAAAGGGAAGATATCACACAGAGTGCTCAGGTATAGTTTTGACTACAGATGTTACGAAAACTTAATCAGTTCAACTGACTCTGAACTTCCATATTGGTTAATGGTAGTATAGTAACCTCGCAGAGGTTGGTGTTAACTTTTTTAATATCTAGTCAAGTAAAGCAATACAAATGGGTCCCACACCATTGAGGAATTTGTAGCTTGGCCAACCAGAAGCAAAGTATCAGGTTTTAAATAGTGACTTTACTACCACGACCCGTATTTTGGGTTGAACTTCCAAAACCTCCAAGGAGAGTCCTATTTAAACTGATGAGGAGTCCTGTGTAGGGGTGGGCAGAATGTTCCTGTCTGAAACTGCAGGGAACAGAGATGACGGCAGCAGCGCGTGCGTCCCGGTAACACGTGTCCAATCTTTCTAGCATGCTCTGAGACTTGCTGCTTTTGGCCAACTTCACAAGGTCTTGGGGATGGATCCCCTCCCTTCCAAAATGCCCAAGAAACCAAAGAACGAGAACCCTGTTGACTACACTGGTAGGTACTAGGAAATAATCACGCGTTTGTAAGGCTGTTTCGTTACTGGAACCCRGAATTCTTAGCTCTTCTGTCATGATTTTACAGTCCAGATTCCTCCCAGTACCACATACGCTGTTACCCCAATGAAGCGTCCTATGGAGGAGGATGGAGAAGAGAAATCGCCCAGCAAAAAGAAAAAGAAGATTCAGAAAAAAGGTATTGAGTTAACGAGAGGTAGGTACCAGTGGCTCCCAGAAGGCTGATTTTAGGCTAAGCTGGGAGGGTGATCACGAAAAAAAAAAATACTCTTGGAAGTGTTTGATGTTGAGTGATGTATAAATATGAGTTGTCAGACATACAAACTTTAATTAATTACTGCTATATGGTCTTACTTGGTATAACTTTTAAACTCTCACAAGAAAAAAATGATGGATAACTTGCTGTCTGTAATCATCTTTTCTTATTCTAGAGACATTATAAACATCTGAAAACTTGTGGGTTTCTTTTTTTCTCTTCAGAGGAAAAACTTGAACCTCCCCAGGCCATGAACGCACTGATGAAACTAAACCAGCTCAAACCTGGGCTGCAGTACAAACTCGTGTCTCAGACTGGCCCTGTTCATGCTCCTATTTTTACGATGTCTGTGGAAATCGATGGGAGCACATTTGAGGCATCAGGACCTTCCAAAAAGACGGCCAAATTGCACGTGGCGGTGAAGGTGAGGGCTGCATCTGGAAAACACGGCCACAGGGCTCCCGAGAGCGGGCAGGCTGCTTGCTGGGGATAACGTTGGAGCTCTTAAACCTGAGCAGGGTGATCTGAAAGCCCCTCATCATGGTGAAAGTCACAGTTAAAAGTTTGTACATGAAATGCRTAAACCCTTCAGCCCAGGCCAGGTTGCATCCAGGAGAGAAGTTAAATATAAAGATAGAATAATCTGGACGTGAAGTTGCAAGGCAGGGTGCCTCGGACTTGGCTCTTGAAATGCCCACAGGATTTGGGAAAAGGGGGAAAAGCTGGAGGAATAATCCCAGCAGAATGTCAACCTAATACCGTAACAAAATGAACAGTGATTCTGAGCAGCCCTTTCAAATATCTACCCCCAAGTATGCAGGAGAAGGAGCAGGTCACAGGTAAGTGCTCGCCAGTAATCCCTTTTCCTCCTCCCCACGCCAGGTGTTGCAAGATATGGGTTTGCCCACGGGAGTGGAAGGCAAGGAGTCTGGAAAGGGCGATGAATCGGCCGAGGAGACGGAACAGAAACCAGTTGTTGTCGCTCCTCCTCCCGTAGTGGAAACTGTCTCCACACCTAGTGCTGCTTCTCCTCCCTCAGATCAAACCTCAGAGGTGAGCGGGGTCTTAGCGGGCTGCAAGAGGCTGTCCCACCTCTTTGAGAAAATGAGGTTGAAAACTTTATTTTAAGGACTGTTTAACATACTTCTCTTCCCTGCTAAAAGCCTCCAGCCTGAGTCTTGAGTCTTTAAGCCTGAGTCTTAAAACACTAAGTTTTAAGAGATAAGAATATGGTCTGAGCTCATCCTAGTGCAACCACCCTGTATTAAGATATTCTCCATTCATACAAAGGTCCTGTTTTGGGAGTAACCTCGGCTCTGGTGGGTATTCCCTGGGGCTGCACGAGCACCTCTTCTCTTTCAGAATGTGAAGCAACAGGGACCAATTCTGACGAAGCACGGCAAGAATCCCGTCATGGAGCTCAACGAGAAGAGGCGCGGGCTGAAGTACGAGCTCATCTCCGAAACGGGCGGCAGCCACGACAAGCGCTTTGTCATGGAGGTGAGGTGGCTTCAGGCTCAGCTCGGATACCTGCAGCGTTACCATCCTAATTTTCTCAGATTCCTACTGGAATTGTCCGTAAAAGGATGACAGACACGGCCRTGTCAGGCGGGTTCACAAGGGGGAGCTCCTGTCTCTGCCCTTTGCATTCACGTGCGCCACTTCAATCCCTTTCAAAGGTGGAGGTTGACGGGCAGAAGTTTCAAGGAGCCGGTTCAAATAAAAAGGTGGCGAAAGCCTACGCTGCCCTGGCCGCCTTAGAGAAGCTGTTTCCCGACGCCCCTGTTGCCATTGAGCAAAACAAGAAGAAACGAGCCCCCGTGCCTGCCAGGGGAGGACCCAAGTTTGCAGTAAAGGTAAGTGGACTTGCTGATCGACGATGTAGCTCGTGGTCCAGTGCAAAAATCCCAATCCTCCTTTTGGGCAAGAGCAATAAGCCAGGATGTGCTAAGGGCATCTGAGCAGAAAGCCTCAATTCTGTCATAAATAATCTCCCAGGCGGCGCTCTGACATGTGGGAAGTTCTGCAGGTGGCTTTTTTGTAGCCCATTTCCTGGAGATTGCTCTGAACCCAGTATCACCYGCTCTGATTTCTTTGGCCCCGTTCCCTCCCGCCGGCGATGGGAATCTGCCGCGTTCCGTGGTTGCCGTCGGGCTTTCGCAAGGCTTCGTTTCCGCCTCGGCCGCGTGGCGAAAGCCTCCGGCGAGGCGCGTTGCGTAACGAGCCCCTCTCCTCCAGCAGCACAACCCGGGTTTCGGCATGGGAGGCCCCATGCACAACGAGGTGCCCCCGCCGCCCAACATGCGAGGCCGCGGGCGAGGCGGCAACATGCGAGGCCGCGGCCGGGGCCGGGGCGGCTTCGGCGGCAATCACGGCGGCTACATGAATGCAGGTGAGCGGCTGCGCGCGGAGCAACGCGGAAACAAGGCTCCAAAAAATCCCTTCCATCTCCTCCGGCGTTTCGGAGTCTGACCTGCAGCCGTGCAGGAGATGGAGGGGTTTTGTTGCCGCTGTTCCCCGGTGTCTAACGGTTTCATTCCGGTTTAGGTGCTGGATACGGAAACTATGGGTACGGAGGAAACTCGGCGACGGCCGGCTATAGTAAGTGCTCCTCTTTTACCTTTCTGGAGCACATCAGTGTGCTGGGGGCGTAAAGCTGGGCCTGGGTTCGGCACACCGGGATATGCTGGTGCCGAAGCCATCGTAAGGGGTGCTCCTGAATTTCCTGAATGAGGAATAATGAAAGATGGCTTGTGTGGACGTTTAAAAGCTAAACCCAGGCGACTTCACGTTTCCACAAAAACTGCTGAAATATTTTAAATTTCTCTGCTTTAAGCCATGTGAAGCTATAGGCCACACTTGTGAATCAGATTTGCCTGAAAATACACTTTGGTCTTGAGAAGAAGCCTTCATTGGGGAGTGACAGGAGCAGAGAAATCTAAAACATGACTTTCAAATGTGGCGCATTGTGCCCCCTTCAAAAGAATTCTAATTTTTTTTCTCTGCTCTGTCTCCCCCTTTTGTAGGTGACTTTTTCACAGACTGCTACGGCTATCATGATTTTGGGTCTTCCTAGATCATCTAAAAGTATTGCACAAAAAACAGCTTTTTACTCCAATTTTCTCGAACTCCAAAACCCAAAGTGTTCGTGCTGTGTCCCTGTGCTTCACTGGGTTTCTCAACAGTGGCTTTTCACCGCAGCTTGTCTGAAACTGTTATTACCCTGCAGAACTTCAGGCAGTGGCAGTTTTTATTGTGATTTGCCTTTGAACTTGGTCGTATCGATGTACACAACAGGGGGAACTAATTATCCACGAATGTTTTTGTGCCGTTCGCACAAACTTCAAAGCCAGCTCTGTTCAGCATAAAGGCAAAAAAAAAAGCCCATCTTTGCTTTTTATGGAAAGCATTACTTTATTTTTAAGAAACAGATACTGGAGTGTTTTAATCTACCTTTGTCTTAATTTACGGCAGCTTTTGTACAAAAAAAAAAAAAAGAGCCTTTTAATAAATCCCAGAAATTGGGTCAATGCCTCTGATATTGGGAAGACTTTTCACATCTCTGAACGTAGTGCACCCAGCTTTTTAAGCATGCAAAACTGTTGGCTTGTGTGTGGAATGGTATGTGCTAAAACTAACCCTGCACCCTTTGTAACACGCTGGTGGGTGAGCGCGGAGGGATGTGGCTCTTGTGGCTGGTAGCTAGTGTGTGTCACAGGTATTGTAATTGTGCTTGCGGCGCAATAAAACCCAGGCATTAGGAGTCGATGTAAAACAAACGCAAAAAAATGTTAGTTTTTACCTTCTGAAAATGCATGGAGTCGTTTATCACCTGAAAACGGGCTTTCTTGAGCCAAAAATAAAGGGCCTAAAGCACTCGAGCGGCGCGCGCCCGCGGCGGGACGCGCATCACCCTCAAAGTGACCCAAAACCTGGGGAAATAAACAACTTTGCTGGAATTGGAAGTCACGGGGAACGTGGAATTGGCCATTTTGAGACACAAGGCGCTGCATCCAAAGTGTCAGGTCCTTTATTCTTGCTATAGAACTTTTTTTAAAGCTGTATTTTGTTTGTCACTGTTTTTAGCTGCAAAGCCTGCACCGTTGCGTTAATTTGACTTGTGAAGCTCAACAACATTTGAGTTAACTCAGTAATTAAACTAGGTTAAAAAGGGAAAAGCAAAAAAAAAAAAAAGGCAAAACAAAAATCTTGAACCTGTGAAACATCAGGTTAGAAAAAAAATGTCCACAGTATCTAGTGAGTACTTAATAATAATGCATGCCCTATTTTTTTTAGAAAATTATTGTTTGAAACAATGACTTTTTATACGAGTGAATAGATCCTGTCCTGAATGAGGTGCAAAACTGCCATTTTTTTAAGTGAATACATGTCAAAGAAACGACTACCGTGGTGGGTATTTTTATTCCTTAGCTTTGGTTTTAGAGGGGGGAAGAAAATATCAGGTGTCAAAGGGCCTTGGTTCCTATCGAGTGAAGGTATATGAAGGAATTCATATAAATGAAGGGTTCCTATAAAAGGTGGAARTTGCAGAAATCGGTTCCCGGCCTGGCAGAGACCAACCTGGGCACCGGCAGCCTGGGTTTGATGCCACGAGTCCTGGTCCCCTCGTCCGGAGGGATCCCTGTTCCGTCTGCTGCGGGAGACGGGAGAACGGACCCGGGAGAGTAGGAAGCCTTGTTGTAGTGCAGGGGGAAGAAGGGATTTTGTGATTCCGGGGATATTYAGAGCTCTGGAAGATGAGCAGGGTGAACAGACAAGCCAAGGTGTCTCCAAGAGGCGCTGCTCCGCACACAAACACCCCTTGGATTTGGGAAAGGAGCTCTCGCCCGCCCTGAGGAGGAGCCGTTTCACCCGGGATCGCAGGAAAAGCGGCACAACATCCTATCCCTTGTCTCTTTTCCAGATTTTCTGGARAACTGCTAAATTCTCACGTGCTTCTCCTTGCTTTTCCAAAGAGAGGCCAGCAAAGCTCTTCCTCRTCAGAGGCATCATTAGGTTCCAGGGTGTACGTGCTGTTCYGGACCCCAGTGCAGGTTTTTAGTTRCATCCTAGTGGGTTTTAGCCCTTAAAATGAGTTAGTTTTTYCACAGGGCAAGTCTGACTCCAGAGYGAGTCTTCTCCCGTCCATCCCAAACCACAAAATGGTCCTGGAAGCTCCATGGGCAGGAATGGGGCAGGAGGAGCCTCCTGGCCACTGTGGAGCCTGAGCAGCTGCCCTGGCAAAGAACAGGAAGAAAGACCAAAAACCACTGGATTTTTGCCCTTGTTCAGTGCGTTTCCACGTTCCTCACCCCCTTCGTGATCATTCCATGTGTGAAGCGATAGGRCCGGGTCTTTTAGTGACTTGTGCGGATGTGGACGTAATTCCCCGTGCCGGGAATGGGGTTATTCCCCATGCCCGCTCTTGGGAGCAGCAGCTCGTGGCCTGACTTGCCTCAAGTGTAGTTTGAGCCCCAGATTTCCAATATGTGTAGAACGTAAATAACCATTAGTTACCGAAAGCTGCATTAAAAGCAAAATGAAGTGCTTGGGGAGGCCCTGAGCTGCGTTCTGAGGGGTGGGCTCGTGCTGGGATTAAAGCTCCGGGGGACGCGGCTCCAGGTTGTTGAGCGGGAATTCTTTCAGGTGATTCCGAGATATCCCCGCGTCTCCTAACTGAACAAACGTGGCCCCAAACAAACGTGTGGGGTTCCCTGGGCGCGAGCTGCCCTCGGSTTTCCCGGGCCTTTCCTCGGGGAGGTCGAGCTGCTCTCGCGCCGTCGGGAGAGGAAAAACCTCCTCGTTGGGAGCGCGGGGCCGAGCGCTTCCCGCTGCCGAACGGCCCCGGCTGGGCGTCGAGCTCCGGGGCGCTGATCCTGCGTTCCCAAGCATTAACCTGGCGTTCCCGGGCACTATCCCTGCTCTCCCGGGCCCTGACTCTCCTCTCCCCTCAGGCCAGTTCTACAGCAACGGCGGCCACTCCAACTCGGGCGGCGGCGGCGGCTCCTCGGGCTACGGCTCCTACTACCAGGGCGGCGACAACTACAACTCGCCCAACTACAACTCGCCGGTGCCGCCGAAGCACAAGAAGCAGCAGCACGGCGGGCAGCAGAAGCCCTCGTACGGCTCGGGCTACCAGTCGCACCAAGGGCAGCAGCAGCAGTCCTACAACCAGAACCARTACGGCAACTACGGCCCGCCGCAGGGCAAGCAGAAGGGCTACAACCACGGCCAGGGCAACTACTCCTCCTACTCCAACTCGTACAACTCGCCCGGCGGCGGCTCCGACTACAACTACGAGAGCAAATTCAGTGAGTGGCGCCGGGGGAGCGGGACGCGGGCGCCTCCGTGGCCTCAAACCGCTCGGGTTTCGGGTTTTTCTTGCTGAGGGCATGGGCCGGGGCCCAGCCGACCTGCCGGGCTAGTCCGGCCTGGTTGCTGGGAAAAGCTCCGGGCGGATTCCGCGAGGGCAGCGCGGAGCTGCCTCGGAACCGCCGGGTGACCCCAGCCGGGAGCCGGCGCAGCCTCTGTTTTCCTACCGGGCAATCCGGGAAAACTCCCAATCCCCGGCGTTGATGAGTTTGTCGCTGTTTGCCCAAGGTCCCCCGGAGCCGGGGGCGCCGGGCACCCCTGTTCACCGCCGCCTCCTCCGCAGGTTACGGCAGCAACAGCGGCCGCGGCGGCAACAACTACTCGGGAGGCTCCTCGTACAACGCGGGCTCGCACGGCGGCTACGGGGGCGGCTCCGGGGGCGGAGGGTCCTCGTACCAAGGTAAGCAAGGTCAGTACGAGCCCCCCCGGGCCTGCGGCGGCCGCCGCCGGGGCCGC